GCCACCATGCCCGGCTAATTTTTTTCTATATATTTGTAGTTTTAGTTGTCCAGATCATTTCTTTCTATTTTTTTAGTAGAGATGGGGTCTCGCTCTTGTTCAGGCTGGTCTCAAACTCCTGAACTTGAGCAATGCACCTGCCTCGGCCTTCCAGAGTGCTAGGATTACAGGCGTGAGCCACCGCGCCCGGCCTACTCTTGTTCTTTGCTTTCTTGGCATAGATGCTACTTAGTTGTGATGTAATTTTTATACACTGCTGAATTTCTTATGCTATCAATAATATTTGGGATTTTTGCAACAATATTTGTATATAAGAATGGCCTATGATTTTATTTTCCAGCTGTCCTTATCCAGTTTTGACATCAAGAGTATAAAAATTCTTAAGAATGACATACAGTGTTTTGTTCTTTCTCTTCTCTTTTACACGTTTTAAAAGATAGGGATATCTGTTTCTTAAAATTTATTAGATTTCACCTCTGAAAACATCTGGATGTATTAATAGTGCTTATTGGGGAGTTTGTTTTTGCTTTTTTATTTCTACTTAACTACTTCACTTAATAGATTGATTCAGGAATTATAGTTCTTTTTCAGCTACTTGGAATAATTTCTATTCTGGAAAATTGTTCATTTCAGATGGTGTATTTGTTGGCCTTATTTCATACTATTAATGATTTTTAAAATACCTGCCATTTCTGTAGTTAGATTCCCCACTTTTATTCCTAATACAGTAAATATATGTATGCTTCCTCTTGATAAAAATTGCCAAAAAATCAGCATGTTTAGAAACAGTGTTATTTTGCGGTTCAGAATTAAACTTGACACATGTTCAAGGTTGTTTTACTTTTCTGGTAAATTTTTATTTTAATCATTAAATAATAACTCCTTATTCCTCCCTAATAATGCTTTTTGTCTTAAAGCCTATTTAGTTGACTAGTTTTCTTTTGACTAGATTTTCACCTAATAAATTATTTTCCTTTACTGTACTTTCAACTTTTGTTTGTTAAGCTTCATCTGTGCTTATACAAGAGTTGGCTAAATTTTTAAGAAAAGAATATAATATAAGGTTATCTTTTTCAACAAAGTTGTTATTCATTTACATTTGTTATGACTACTGAGATATTTGGATTTACATGTATTATCTTTAAAACAAAATTATTATAATCATTTCTCTCAGCTTTTTTTCCTCCTTCTTACCTTTTACTTTTTATTCTGCTTTTCTATTGATTTCAAAGTGACACATTCTATTTCTATTCTTTTAGAATTTACCCTTAAGTTTTTAAAGTGTACTTGAATTATGGAAGTCTAAAATAATTCATTTCTGTTTTTAAAACTCTGTTAGGAAAGTAGAACACTTTTTCCAGTCTCTCTCATGTCATCTTCCATATTATTATGTCTGTTTTAATTCAGTTTATTTATAAGCCTTTCTTAATTTTTTAAAAAGTACTATTAGGTTTACCATTATTTCTGGCATGTCACCATTGCTCATTATTGCTTCTTTCTTTTAGGGTTCATTTCTTCTTACTGAAATTTTTCTTCCATCGAGTGCTTCTTAGTGGCAAAATTTTTTAGTCTTTGTCTGAAAGTATTTTATCTTCATCCTTGAATGACGATTTTTCTTGGTCTTGCTTGGATTCCAGGTTGGCAGTTATTGTCATTTGGAACTTGAGTATATATTGTCTCTAGTACCTTTTAACATTTTTTTCTTTAAGTTGAATGGTTTCCTGTTTTGCATCAAAATTATCTATGGGTAGGATTTTTTAATTAACTTTTTATATTGAAATAATTTCAAGCTTACAGAGTTGCAAATTTAAAAATAGTACAAAGAACAATCCTATACACATAACCCAGATTCACTACCGCATTTATAATATGCACACATGCTCTGTCATGTGATCTCTCTGTGTCATACACATATACATAGATAATGTTTTTCTTCTGAGGGCAAGTTGTATACATCATGCCCTTTAGCCCTAAATATATCAGTGTGTATTTTTTAAGAATAAGGATATGCCCTTATATAACCATAGTACAATTATGATAGTACTATGATTTATATTTTTACAGTAATTACCTCTAATCTACTGTCCACAATATAATTTTTTAGTTGATTTAATGTCTTTTACATAAATAGCACTTTCCCTCCTCCAGTATAGGATCCAGTCCAGAGTCAGGTATTGTGCTGAATTGTCCAGGTCTCTTACCTTCTTTTATCTGGAACATATCCACATCCTTTTGTTGTCTTTTTATGACATTCACATTTTTTGAAGAATATTGTTCCCTATCCCTCTTCATTTAATAGAATATACTGAATTTTATATTTCTCTGATGTTTCATTGTGACTGAGGTTTTTGTGTTCTTGGTGCAAATATTGAATAGGTGATGTTATTTCCTACTTAAGATGTCACTTTTTGGCCAGGTGCAATGAATCACTCCTGTAATCCTAGCACTCTGGGAGGCTGAGGTGGGAGGATTTCTTGAGGTCGAGAGTTCTGAACAAGAGGGAGACCCTGTCTTTACAAAAAATGGAAAAATTAGCAGAGCATGGTGGTGTGCATCTATAATTCCAGCTACTCAGGAGTCTGAGGCAGGAGGATCCCTTGAGCCAGGAGTTTGAGGTTCCGGTGAACTATGAATACGCCTTTGCACTCTAGCCGGGGTGATAGAGCAAGACTTTCTCAAAAAAAAAAAAAAAAAAAAGATATCACCTCTAGAGACACATGATGTTCACCTGGCCTTCATTGGTAATGTTTATTTTGATCACCTGGCCAAAGTGTTGATGTATTTGTCTACTGTATATAATGTTCTTCTCCTTATAATGAAACCAATAAACGATCTGTGAAGAGCTGCTTTAAGAATATGTAAATATCTTGTTTTTCATCAAAATTTACCATTCTTTGATGATTCTTTCCTGATCCAACCTTTGTCATGATAATTATTCTGATTCCATATCTCTATATCTTCAATTCTGAACATTCTTAGCTTTTTTTGTTTTTGTTTTTCAATTTGCTTTTCTGCGATTTTGTCATTATATTTTAGATTCCTATTACATTATAAACACATTTCATAAAGAATATGGATGGCCAATAAAAATGAAAATTAACTTTAGTAGTAATCAAAGAAATACAAGTTAAAATAATTATAGTCTTTTTAGGGCTAATCTGATAGATTAAAGAATTACAATATCCACTTATTACAAAAATGTAGTGAAAAAGGCTACTCAACTTTCAAAGAGAATGTAAATTGTTAACAACCTTTCCTGAGGGCATTTTGGTTATGCTTTTCAAAAGATTTAAAATTGTATCAATGTCTATCAACTCAGAAACTTCATTTTTTTTACTTGTAAACTTCAATTATTAGTGCTTTTTTTGATGTATAACATTTTTTAATGTCTCTTTGTATTCCCTCCCTTTTTCTAATTCCTGCCCACTAATCCCCAGTTGATCTACTTTTTGTCCCTATAAAATTAGTTTGCATTTTCAAGAATTTTATATAAGTGGAATCATACAGTATATATTCTTTTATGCCTGGCTCCTTTCATTCAGCAAAATTATTTTGTGATTCAAACATGTTATATGTATCAATTGTTCATTCTTGTTTATTGCTGAGTAGTAAATACTCTTACCGTATAGATTTATACCACATTTTGTTTATCCATTAGTTTGTTGATGGATAAACAAATGATAGACATTTGGGTTGTTTCCAGTTTTTTCACAAATGAAGCTGCTAAGAACATTGATGCATAAGTCTTTGTATGGGCACAGGCCTTGTAGAATGATTGTGTCATATAGTAGGTGCATGTTTTACTGTCCAACTGTCTTCCAAAATGGTTATGCCATTTTACATTCCCACCAAAAGTGTAAGAGAGTTCTGGCTGCTGCTCATCCTCACCAACATTTTGTATGCTCAGTTTTTCTAGTTTTAGACATTCTAATAGATAAGTAGTATTGTTTCATTGTGGCTTTAATTTGCATTTCCTTTATAGCTAATGATATTGAAATATTGTTCAGTGTGCCCATTCATCTCTGTATATCTTCTTTGGTGAATTACGTGTTCAGATTATTTCCTCCATTTTTTACTGAGCTGTTTGATTTCTTATTACTGAATTTTTGAGGATACATATGTATGTATATTTAGTGAGAAAAATATATCAAAATCTCAAATTATAGACACCAAAATATTGACAGTGATTATTACAGGGTAATAGAATTATAACTGCTTTTTATTTTATATTTTTCTTTGTGATTTCCTAATACTTTAACATAAACATTTATTTCATTTGTGATAATTATTTATATATAAAAAGCCTTTTTTTCATCCAGAAGTTAGAAATGGTATTTTAACAAGTTATTATAAAAGAAAATATTTTAACCTAAATTCTATCATAAACTTCATGGAACATGTTTGAAGACCATGAAAATGGCTATTGTTTTTATCTAGACATATTTTACGTAGGTATTCTGTGACCGTTGAATAGCACTGTATAATTTCAGAAGTCTTGGTGTCCAATTATTTGCTTAAACAATGAATTTTGAAAGCCTGTGTTTGTCTGTCTTTTACTTTCAACTTAAATATCTATCCATGTGTGCTCCAGAAAAATGCTTAAGAATTTATTTACAAATTATTTTGAAAAATAAAGTAATAATAGGGTAGGTATCTTATTAAATTTTTGGTAAATCTATTTTCCAGTTTATGTTCATGAATGCTAAGTTCAGCCTGATTTATATGTCTTACACTGGACCAGTAAAAACATCATTTTGACACTACTATGTGCTAATTTTTACTGTTGGATTCTTATTAAAAAAAAAAAACAGTACTGTTTTTTATGTGTTTATACAAATAGGAACTATCGAAAAACCTTGAGCTGAGCACTAACAGTTTCCAACGACAGCTACTTGCTGAAAGGAAAAGGGCTTATGAGGCTCATGATGAAAATAAAGTTCTTCAAAAGGAGCTACAACAACTATATCACAAATTAAAGGTAAGCACTTTATTTTAAATTGCATTATTTTTCTTATAATACATATTAGATGAAAACCAAATATTTTAGAACACTTACTATTCATATTTGTAAGTTGGTACAATAAAATTTACAAAATTCTCATATTGGCAGTTAGAAGAGATTTGTTGATATAATCAGTATAACAAAGTGAAACGTTGAATACACTAATAGGAATGATGTAACTGATATAAATTGTAAAATCCTGGAAGAAAATTACGGGAACTAAAATTTTTCTGTGCTGCATGGTTGAATAACCCAATGTTCTTCCTCAGCTCACCCCATAATTCATTATTTTTTTTTTTTGAGACAGAGTCTCACTGTGTTGCCCGGGCTAGAGTGCCGTGGCATCATCCTAGCTCACAGCAACCTCAAACTCCTGGGCTCAAGCGATCCTCCTGCCTCAGCCTCCCGAGTAGCTGGGACTACAGGCATGCGCCACCATGCCCGGCTAATTTTTTTCTATATATTTGTAGTTGTCCAATTAATTTCTTTCTATTTTTAGTAGAGACGGGGTCTCGCTCTTGCTCAGGCTGGTTTCAAACTCCTGAGCTCAAACAATCCGCCCGCCTCGGCCTCCCAGAGAGCTAGAATTACAGGCGTGAGCCACCACGCCCGGCCCCATAATTCATTATTTTTAAAGTTGTCTCAAATAATGTCTTTTATTTTCACAGTGTTTAGTTGGAGCATTCAAATTATTTAATTTTGTTAAAGTAAATGTTCTTAATTCTATCTAGAGGTCATTGATGGGTGGAAATTTTGTGCAAAATTGTACCAAATTATGCATTATCATTACAGAATTTTCTTTTGTTAATCAAATTCTCGTAAAAAGCTGTAGCCCCAAAATGGTCAAGAACACCTGTGTTTAAAAGAGTGGTCTAATTTTTAACTCACCTATAATTCAGAACCCATATTTGAGAGATGCTAACTAAATTCTTTGCCTCTGTGGCTAAGCCTGGATGACAGTTAAGATAATACTAGGTTTATCAGGTAAAATGGGTAGAAAATGAAGTTTGCCTTAATAGTTTTTTTACTACCAGAACATACTGGACTTTTTAGGGAGAATAATTGTTCTACCCTAACCTTAATGCACTAGAGACATTCATTCTATGGTTTGGTAGTTACAAAAGGAAGCTGAGCCAGATATATTTCAAAATAGTAAAAAAAAAAACCAAAAAAACAAAACACAACAGTTGACAAGGTAAGGGTTTTTGTTTTGTTTTAAACTGAGACTCTGCTTCCTTAATTGTATGGAATTTGTTTTCAGGAAAAGGAGAGAGAACTGGATATAAAAAACATATATTCTAATCGTCTGCCGAAGTGCTCTCCAAAGAAGGAAAAAGACCTTACATCAAGGAAAAATGGTATAGTAGCTATTATTGTTGAAAAACTGATATTATAGCTATTAGTTATTAATAATATGATAAATTCTGAAATGGAAGAAAAAGGAAAGAACCTCACTGAAATACATTTAAATTAAATGTGTTTTTTACAACTTAAATGTTTTACAGTGAATTTTCAGAAATCCTTTTAACTTTCTCAGTTTTTTCCCCTGAAGAGAGAGGGAAAATTATGCTTTCCATAATTTTTTATAATTTTCTTATTATAATTTAGAAACTTTTATGAAAATATATAAACATACCTCAAAGTAGAAAGAATAGTATAATGAACCTTCATTTATGAATCACCTAGCTTTAGCAATTATACTTTCTACCAATTTTATTTTATCTATTTTTTCTACTTTTTTCTAGAGTATTTGAAGGTAGATCTCAGATATTATTTCATTCAAATACTTGGTATTGTTATGTAGCTTTACTTTTGTTTTTTTTACCAAAGTAAACTTCGTTTACTTCTGTGAACTGCAAAAATTTTAAAACTTATAATTATAAAAACTTTATAGCATTTATAGTCAGAATTGTCCCCAAATCAGTAATTGCCAATAAACACTAGAAACAAAAATAGTAATAGTGAGTATTCACTGAGCTGAGCAAAACATGCATTATCTCATTTAGGTGGTGAATGTACCAATTGAATTCCATATATCTTAGCATTGTTCAATGTGATTAGAAAAATTCTTTTATAATTTTCATGGTAGCTGCATGCCAGAGTGATTTTACAGACCTGTGTACAAAAGGAGTACAAACTGTTGAAGACTTAGAGGTGGAAGGATTTCCTATAACACCACAAACAATTATGTATTATGAAAACAAATGGGAAGAACCAGAACGTCTTACTTTGGTGAGTTTAGCAATTTGATTATGTGTCAAACACTAGGTTTGAAGTTATTCCTAAAAACACAATATCAAACATATTAAAATTTGGGTAATAAAGCCAGTGCTATATCTGTATGGATATGCAACTAGCCTTTTAAAGAGAAAGAGATAACATCTATGTATTTCATAAAATTCCTTTGAATTACTCTTCTGGTTCACATTGCATCTTTCAGGGGCTTCAGAAAGATGTATTGTACCTTCTGGGTTGGAGGTAGAAGAGAAGAATTTCTTTCTAAATTTCTTATCTTTTATCTACCCAGATAGTCTTGGAAAACCCTCAATGCTTTTATGTTTAAAAGCAAATTGTAGTAATTTTCAAATGATTTCTTAGAATTTGATTAATGTTTTTTGACCTCCTATATAGGAGAATTTTACAGAATGCTGAACAAGGTAATTGTAGTAGATTCTGACCTTATACCATTTAAATTAGAGTGGAATTCAGGGGGTATGTGTTGGACCTTCATTCAAAAGGACTTTCACACTAAATCACTGGAAAGTCTATTTCTCTAAGAGGGTTTTATCATTAGTGTTTACAATTTAAACTACAAAGAAAATGGTATATCAGGGTTCCAGCATATTTCATATAATATTATGTTTTTGTACCTTGTAAGTTTCCCAGTGACCCTGAAATCTCTTCTTGTGGTATAAAACAGAAAAGATGGACCGATTTGGTTCCTCTATGTACTCTAGTTTTTTAATTTGTTTGTTTGTTTATTTTTGTTTTATAATTTAGACAAGTTAGTTGTACCTGCTAAGTGTATTTCTTTCTGTATTTGCAATTTTATTGAGACTAGAATGTTTATTTCTTTGAAGTGATAAAGTGTAGAACAACGAAGTAATTCTTAACTTTAAACGGGTAAAAATAATTGATCTTTATACTTTAAGATTCAGCAGGAGAAGTATCAACCTGGTATAGTGAAAAGAGTTGGAGTTAGATCTGCTTTTTAGTTAAATTCTGATTCTAACATTTAGTTGTATGACTTCTTGGAGCTCAATTTTCTCATCTGTAAAACGGGGGTGGGTTACTTTTCAGGATTGTGGTAATGACTAATCATGAAGTTTATAAAGCTCTTGAGACTGAGCTCACCCCACTGTAAAGGGCCTCAGCCAATGATAGCTTAGTTAGAGTACAGGCTAAGCTGCTACTGGAAAGAGACTCAATATAGTGGCTTAAGTAAGAAACAAGTTTCTTTCTCTTGTAATAGACTGAAGTCAGTGGGTAATTCCAGATTGTTAGAAAGCTTTATTTCATGGTAATCGTCCCCTGTGTTATTGAGCTTCCATTTTAGAGTATAGGCCTTTTCTGTATGGTTGGAACTGGCTTAGCACCGCTGTGAGAAGGGGAAATGGGGAAGTAGAGGTCAAGCAGTTTTCGTTTTTTATAAATGTGATCAGAAATTGCACACATACTTCCACTTACCTTCCATTGGTCCTATCTAGCTGCAAGGGATGCTAGCAAATGTCGTCTCCAGCTGAGTAGCCCTGTCTTGCTAAAATATAGGAGAGTGTTACTAAAAGGAAGGTGAAATGAATACTAAGGTACAATTCTCTCTACTAGACAAGTCTTTACTACTAATAGATATTTCACTTTTATTAAGAAAAATTACACAGACATTTGAAAGGGGCCATAAGAAACAAGGAATTTTAAGTTTATAACATTGATCTGATTTGAATATTGTAAAATTTAAGAACTGGAGGCTTTGGGCATAGTATTAAATATGAACTGGAAAGATTCAATGCAGTTGTCACTGCCTGTCGTAAGTACAACAACATCTCAGTTAGCCACCATAGCTGGTTAATAGCCATTTCTGGTTAACTGAATTAATCAGATTTTGTTGTGAAAATGTACAAAGCAAGGATACTTACAAAACTTGCCTCTTCAGAATTTTCTGTAGGGGATTGGCTTTACTTTGTATTAGTTCTAATGTGTCTTATAAATGCTTCTTTAAAATTTTAACTGAAGTAAGAAATAACCCTATGTGTTTTTGAAGCATCTTCCAAAGGGTGGTAACTTATGATTTCCTGATTTCTTAATTGAAAATATGCTTTAATTTTTAACTTAGTTGGTAATCACGCTTATTGGAGAATAAATCTATGATGTTTAAATAGTTTTTCCCCCTTTGCTATATGTGAACTTGCATTTCTAAAAAAATGTATAATAGGACCTGGAACCCCAAGAACAAGATAACCATGGAGAAGCAGGGATGCTAAATCCAACTGTGGAAAGAGAAGAAAAATTCGTTAAAGATCAAGGACTCCATATTGTAAAACAGGAGGTTGAGAAGCTGGAGGATGGTAAGAAACAGAGTTTGTTTAAGCAAGTGATGAGTCAGCATCCCTTGGGAAAGAAAGGGTTAGCCTCCTCTAATATCTTCCAGCTGAACTGTTAATTAGTTGTGTAGAACAAGATAAGGCTGATGCAGTGATAGTGGATGGTGTATTAGGAGTCATAAACATTTGAATAAAGTTATTAGGGAAAGAAAAAAAGTTGAAGACTGTAAGTCAGTCACTATTTGGGGTTAAGGAATAAGGACAAGTTACCTTTAGAAAATTCAGATGAAGGAAAAAATTTCTTTGTATACTAACTAAAGCTTAATGAAGACGTAATTGAAAGACAGCCCTCTTTAATTGACTTGGCCTTGACAATCTCTAGTCCACAGACTAGCTTCTGCATAAAAATCAATGAATTATGAGGTTCTGAATATATTCCTATAATTTTTCTTTGGTTTTAATGTGTAATGTAAATCTTTAACGTGTTCAGCCATTAATGTGGAAGTTTAGTGAACCAACTCACAGAGTTTCAGATATGGAAATGAAGTTCAGGAATAAATTAATATCTGTTTGGATAAAATGTCTTAAAGGTGTGGGCAAGAGGGACCTCAGACTCTGATCTTTTGAATGTATTCTATTAGTTATATAATAGCTGCTTACAGAGAAATCCCTTTTTTTTCCTTGAGCTGAAAGTAATGGAACATAAAATCATGACCCATTGTTGCTTAAATTAGAGAGAGAGATAGAGAGAGAGAGTGTGCGTGTGTGTAGGTATGTTTATACATATATGTGTGTGTGTTTTTGTAGATATATATTTATATACACAGTATATATAAGCAGTATAATGGTTTTAATATAAGCTACATTTGCATCACTGTTGGCTAATGCACAGAGGAAGATGCTTTCACCTGTTAATCTGCAGAATAGAAAATTAGGTATTATGGTCAGTTCTGTCTAGGTAACAGGAATAGGAATAAGGTAGCAGAAGACTATCACTTCTCTTTGTCCTTTTGACTGAATTTTTTCCTGGGTTCTGTATGGAATAATCTCTGACATTAGTGAGAATGTATGTCATTTAATAAAGTTAACCATACTTGTAGTGTTTTTACATATTTTAATATTAATTTTTTCATTTGGAAGTAATTTCAAAATTATAGAAAAGTGGCAAGAATAACCAAAGAGCTATTAAATATTTAAGAATGAGTTATATATCTCATGCTTATACCCTTAAATACTTCCCTGTGTATTTCTTCAAAACTAGGGCATTCTCTTAGCCAATATAGTTTTCAACTTCAGAAAATGTATTTGATATAACACATTTACCTAATCTACCATCCATATTACAGTTTTGTCAGTTGACACAATATTGTTCTTGATAGCATTTTCTTCCTTTCAGAACATGATCATGAATTACATTTAGTTTCCATAACTCTTTAGTCTCCTTTTATCTGCAGGAGATTTTTATATATATAAGCAAAAATACATATATGGTCAGATTAACATTTTTGGTGAATACAGACCCATTTTTAAAAATAGAATGTTCTTCATTTTGTTTTTTTCGAAGTTTTCTCTTAATTAGATTCAGGTTAATGTATCTTCTGTCAGGATATGACAGCCAAATTTTTAATTTATTTTTAAGATTAAAACTTTTTCCTTCATCTGTTCCCAATCCATTCATTCATCCATCCCACCACCCATCATTCAGGTTACATCACTATATTAGTTTAAAAAAAAATAAGCAGAGAACCTTCTTCCCCATCCTTATCTTGAAGAACAAATTTTTTCTATAAATGTGAATTTTAAATGTAACATATGTTAAATATATTTTATATATATATATACACACAGTATCAAGTGTAGAAATGAAATTCATGATGTCCTTTCTCACTGTACTTATAATACCCAAATTAGATAAAGACAGTTGTTCCTTAAAGGTAGTAGTTGAATTTTCCTATTTAAAAAAATATTGACTGTTATAAAATCCCATTTTAAAAATTTGATTTCATACAGAATGGGAAAGAGAAGAACTTGATAAAAAGCAAAAAGAAAAGACATCTTTACTGGGGAGAGAAGAAAAGCCAGAGTTGGAAACTGGAAGGTATCAAATGGAAATGTACCAAATTCAAAATATTGATAAATTGCAAGAAGAGGAAGAAGAAAGACTGAAGAGGGAAATGCTACTTGCTAAACTGAATGAAATCAGCAGAGAAGTCCAAGATTCTCAGAATCTAAAATGTCCTCCTTTGCCGTTGCTACCTGATTTGGAATCAAAACTACACTCCCCAGACAGAAGCCCCAAAACATACATGTTCTCTGAGTCCTCTGAAAGATTATTTAATGGGCATCATTTGCAAGATATTCGTTTTTTAACTCCAAAAGGAGAGGGTCAGAATCCAGGAAATATTAGAAGTCCAGCTTCACCAGATGAGTTTATATTTGGTAGCTATGTGCCTTCATTTGCAAAAACATCAGAGAAATCAAATCTATTTAGCCATAAAAGTTGTGATTTGGATTTCCAAAAAAACCATATGGAAAAACTTAGTAAAGACAGTGTAGATTTAATTACAAGAAAAGAGAAAAAAGCTAATCTGATGGAACAGCTATTTGGTGCCAGTGGCAGCAGCACCATTTCTTCTAAAAGCAGTGACCCAAATTCTCTGGCTGCCAGCAAAGGAGACTTTGACCCTCTAAGTTTTATCCCTGGGGATAAAAGCAGCAGGGGTAGAGACCATGATGAAGACGAAGACTTTTTCCTCAGTGAAGGAAGAAGTTTTAATTCAAATAGACACCGATTAAAACATGCAAACAATAAACCAGCAGTAAAATCAGTTGATTCTGTAGAAGATGAAATTGAAGAAGTAGCACTGAGATGACTGACTAGAAAAACTGACATTTTTCCAATTGTAAAT